TCTTGAGAAAAATGCTTAAGTTTTAATGACTTAGGGAAGAACTGCATTTTAAATGAAATACTGTTATTACATCATTATAGACTTTCACCTTACAGGGAAGAGCCAATACGTATTACGTTGTATGAAGAACATTTAAAAAATCCTTTCCCTTTCTCAACATATTTTGCTCCTCAAAGTACAATACCATGTCCAGTACTTCCTATGGTTATTGTTTCCTTACACCTCTTTCTAGGATGTCTTTCCTTATACCTCTTTCTGTTTGAATGTCAAGTTGGAGTCAGCTGGAGTTTGTGCCAATTTAGATAGTGAAATCATTAAATTATTCACACTTTATTGCAGTTTCCATCTTTGGGATACTCTTTTTTTAGGAGGTCATTGAATCTTTTTTACTTTATGGAGCAGTAAGACATGCATGAAGAATTTTGAATTTAAAGAGGCCCGTCTTGCATGTATATCTGGGGATTGGCATTTAAGAGTCTATAAAGTAAATTGGCAGTGAATGTTTTATATTTACCTGTTAGAATCTCAACTACATCACCAAATAGCCCTTTACCAGATATATTGGAATACACTTGATGGAGTGTAAAGCACTGAATGGAAAATATTTGTGTGCAGGTCTCATGAAGTACCTACAGGTATAATTTTGAAGCAAAAGTTACTTGGAAAGTAAAACTGGCCCATTGCCGTATTTATTCTTTTTTTTTCTCATATGAACAAAGTAGTTATTGTGTATTGAAATGTATTTCAAGTTAATAATCGCTACAGTGCTTCACCTGTCTAAATCACCCAGCTTTTTGATAACACCGGCAATATGAATGACAGCTGCAATCCCAAGGTTAGACTGCAGAGTCACTTTCTCTGTTGCTTTCTCTGCTTTTAAACTCCCTTTTATGTGTAGCCAAGTGAAATGTAAGCTCTGCGGATCCTCAGGGGGCCATGGCCTGATGAGAGGATACTGAAGAAAGGCAGCAGTTTGGAAAGGCTGCTGGAGGCTCTGAGGGCAGGGGTGGGGTGGGGGGATGACAGGACTGGAGACCTTTCTAGGGAGATGAATGAGATGAATGAGAAGGCAGAGCCTCTTAGGGCTCCAGGCGCATTTCACCCTCAAGAGTAGTTCTGGGCTATCAAACCAATTGTTTTGGCTTTATCCTTCAGATGTTGCAGGAGGAAAATGCATTCTTTTATTGCCCTTCCAAGTCGTTTAACCATTTATCCTTAATCATCTGCAGTCTGTGTGGGAATAAGTCTTTTAAAGATCACTGAACTTTGCTTGGTTTGAAATCAAAGTAGAATTCATTTTATTTAATGTGGGAAGGCTTCTTTAGAGAAACTTGACACAAACTGACTTTTTAGCCTCTCAGAATCTAACTGGAAAAAGAAACTCCACCACCCTAGAAAAACACAGCCAGATGCACAAATGAGTGAGATTGCCATGGCATTATGATTCTCCTCTGTGGTTACTGATCACTTAAGAAGCCTTAGCAGCCAGGATGTAGCCAGTCTGTATGTATGGACTAGTTGTTTTAGATTGCAGTCATAGGACGTAACTGGGCTACTCATACTGTATTTCACCATTATCATAAGTTTTTAATCCTTGCTATTCCTTGTATTAAGAATGTTTGATGATTTTTAGGAACCTTAATAGATTTGCTTTGGTAGATAAATGAAGAAATGCCTTTGACCACTGATATATAGAATTGACCTGTGAAGAAATAAATTCCTTCAGTGCCCATATCAACATCACACAAAAGAGCCACATGTGGGTTCTTTGGAGTTTTACAGACCTCTTCAAGGAGCAGTTCAGAGTGGTTTCTAAGAGTGATAAATCTGTATTTTGATGCATGGGTTTGGCTGGCATGGATTTGGACAGAGTGGGCCAAACAGAGCTAATTGAGGTAGGAAAAAAATCGAGAGAACAGGCCATAATGGTGAATAGAGTTATTTGTCACTGAGTTGGTAATAGGATTTTCAATTAATTCATGCAGGCTTCCAGTGCCTTACATTAGCGCTGTCAAGATGAACTACAGCCACATCTAAAATGCCATCCCCTATTAAACGGTGCATGTCAGTGAATTTGTAATTTCTTCTGTTCAACGGGAAGATGAATGGATTCCACTCAGAAAACAAATGTGTGCTTCAGAAATGCACATTTCAAAATCCCAAGCACTTCCTAGAAGGAACATTCTTTGCATTGTTATATAGTGAATATGTATTAAAAGTGTAATTGCTATGTGAATTTTGTCCAAAAGGAAAAGCATCCAGCTGTGTAGAGACAAATACACTTTCAGGTGCTGTGTTTCTCTGGTGAGCAGGCTTTTCACATTGGGTGGTGATGCTGATAATGAGAGTTCATGCTTGTGGCACTTATCACCTGCTGGGCCATTTGTAGTGGTTTACATACATTAATTCACAAAATCCTCACAACAACCCAGATGAAGAAATTGAGGCACAGAGTGCTTACCCTGCCCCACATCACACAGCAAGGAATGCTGTACTCTGGATCCAGGCGCAAGAAGTCTGGCTCTGGAGACTGCTGCCTGCATTATCCAACACTGCTGTTCAGGGCCCATCAGCCATGAGCCCAGAGCTCACTGGTGCTTCTCATGTCTCTGCCTCTGGCTAACTCACTATTGTTATGTCCCTCATCATAATAGCTGTTGTTGTGTTGATTTGTTATCTCCTCAAACCTATCTGGAGAAAGAACATTACATCGAGATAAGCAGAATTCAAGATGTGCAGGGTAAAGTGGAGGATGTAGTGAGACAGCTCTGTGAGGGTTGGCAATAATTAGAATTGCTGCTACCACACAGCTGCACACTGAGTAGAGTGTGGTCCCAGGTCCCAGGGTGGTGGAGCACCAGGGTTCCAGTTGGGTATTTCCCTTCTACAGAAATCAAAGAACACAGCAGAATTGTTTACCAGATCCAGTCAAAGCTCCCTCCCACGAGCTGGAGGCAGGATACCAGGCAGGATCTGAAAGTCAAAGAGAGGGCATATGTGAAGGTGTCAGGAGTTCTGGAAGGTTCAGCCCTTGTCTTCCTTCCTGGGGTGTTGGACTCAGAGCAACTCAGATTAACCAAAGAGAACTTCACATGGCCACGCCAAGGCAAGATGACTGCCAGTAGCATTTTGAAAATCAAGCATCCATTATTCCTCTTAGTCAAATAAAAATAATTAACAAAAAAGGTGGATGTATGAGTAGGCCAGACTCCAGATCTCTCACATAAAATTGAGTTTTAAAACTATACTATGAAGGTTATTGCCATCAAAAGTGTAAAACTTTGATCTGCTTTTTTTTGGGGGGGGTGGAGATGAAGGCTAGGGAGAAGACAGTAATAGGAGTAATTCGATTCCATTAGAAAGACGAAACTTAAAAACTTCTTTTTCAACTAGTTGAGATCTGTACTTTGCACATAGCTGTCCGCCCGCCTGGCCACTTCCTGTTCATTTTCTACCCGCTGCCAGATTGATCTTCCTGGCAAGAGTCATGGTTCTTATTGTGGCCATCTGTGCTTCAAACCCAGGAGTGGCTTGTCATTGCCAGGAGGACACCCTTTGAAAACTTGAACGCGACATTCTAGACCCTCCGACAAGCTAACCTCTACTTACCTTGTGTATACTCCAAATCTTTGACTACATCTCCAAGAGCATTGCATTCATCATCAAACCCCAACCCCTCCACACAACACATTACAGTTTATTGTAACTTTCTCATATCTTACCGCTTAAAGGTGAGACCGATGCCCTATGCCTGTGTAGGTGCCGTCTGCTCTGCCTGGCTGTGCCTGTGTAGACTTTGATTTGACTCATGGGTTACTTTCTCCAGGAAGCAATTCCATCTGCACCTGTGCTCTCTACTCCTGTGTATATCTCTCTGCTTGCATGTCTGTCTATGAATTCATTGCAGTTTATTGTAACTTTCTCATATCTTACCGCTTAAAGGTGAGACTGATGCCCTATTCTGCTTTAATTCCCCAGCCCTGCAGGTTGCCTGGTGAAAGAGAAAAGCTTGATAAATGTTTTCTGGATGAATGGACAAATGCATAAGTATATGAAAAGCAGAGCCCAGGAATCTCATTCAGTGATGTTTGACTTGCCATTTGTTGTCTAGACCAGTGATAGACAACAGTGTCGTAGGGAGCCCCAGAGATCTTAGCATGACAACTGATGCTGGGCTCCTCAGTGCCATCAGGAAGTGTCGTGTAATCCATGTGATGAGATTGCCTTGGGGCCACATATACATTTTTAAAGCTTCCATTGAAAACCTTAATGTAGTGCAATCCTCATCTACTAGTCTATCAGCCTCATAGTGCTCTCTACTCAGGACAGAGCCAAGTGGCGTGATGGTATGTAGATTGTAAAAAGATGTCTGTCAGTCTGAGCACAGGTCACAAACTCCTAGAGGACATGGTCTCCACGGCTTCACTCACTGTTGGGTTCCAAGCCTGGCTCATAGTAGACCCTCAATAAATCCTGGTTGAGTTCATGAAAGAATAAGACCTGTTCCCATTAAAAGCGGTAAGAAAAGTTTTGCCCGAGAGCCAAACTCTGACTCATATCAGTCAAGCTCAAGAACAATGGATAAATTCCTGAACTGTGCTTCTGTTTAAATTTTTCTTCCCAGGGCTTATCATTTATCCTGCTGAGTAAAGTAATTCAGGTGGGAAATTTTGATTTTATGAGTTTTTGAATTTTACACTGGGGAGCCAGATTCAGCAGACATATGTCCATGTACTGAAAACCCCACACTAGGCTGCAGCTCCCGCTGAATTAAATGTAGGAATAGAAGGTTAAGTGTCAGAGGGCAACAGCTGGACTCTGTGCTGTTTCTCACTGTGGCATTTATTCGTACTTGCTGTTTCTTGATGATGCAATGAGATTTTTCTTCCTAGGGCAAATTGTTGATTTGACCTTGATTTACTAACAGTGATAACTAATGAAGTTAACTGGACAGGGATTTTTGTACATTTCTTTCATTAAAACCCATCTCTTTCCTTTAGGGTATACCTCAGTTACCATGTGCCAAAGCGTTATACAATTACGAAGGGAAGGAGCCTGGAGACCTTAAGTTCAGCAAAGGAGACATCATCATTTTACGGCGACAAGTGGATGAAAATTGGTACCATGGTGAAGTCAACGGCATACATGGCTTTTTCCCCACCAATTTTGTGCAGATTATCAAACCTTTACCTCAGCCTCCACCTCAGTGCAAAGCACTTTATGACTTTGAAGTAAAAGACAAGGAAGCAGACAAAGATTGCCTTCCATTTGCAAAGGTGAAGTCAGAACGAGACTGTTCTCGGTTGCCAGTCCTTGCTCTGTGTCTGGATGCCTGGGATGGCTTTGTGTCCTTTTGCAAAGAGATACAGTAGGGTTTTGTGAACTGTCTCAGTGTACTTCAAAAAAAATACCATGTGGAGACAGTCTTCTTAAAAATCCCAAAGAAAGCAATTTTGGGCATAGACTGTTTATAGGAAAGATAATTTTCATTGATGCCCTATGTAGGATCATTTTGCTATCTAGAGCCTTAATTAACTGAACGAGGCATCACTGCTTTACATGTCTGTTGATTCTCCTCTCAGGTGTGGGCCCTGTGGCTCTGTGTCCTCCACCATAGTCCACTGTCTTTCTCTCTTCCCCCAACTTTCCTCCCTCCTCCCCCCATAGGTTGTTTCTATATCTTGGCTATTGTAAACAGATATAGCCTAAATTTTATTATTTTCTGTATAAGATGTATGCACCGTCAGGAATTTTAAGTCTTGGAATTATGATAACAAAGTGAAACAATTTTATGTCTTTACTTTATATGTAGATTGCTGAAAGCCCAGGGATATATGTCACTGAATTGACAAGATTTGATTGATAAAATTTGCATTTTTAAGAGATTTGTGGTTTTGTAATAAAGAAATACAAAAAGATACACATTTGAATGGACATTTGATGTATTACCAGAGAGAAAGTGAGAAGATCCTACAAATCTATTTATAAAAGAAGTACAGGAGGCTGGTGTGGTAGCACTTGAGGTTGCAGTTTATAAAGATAAAATAAGCAGGTAGCATCATTTTACCACTGTCAGAGATGACCCCAGGTTGGTTGGTAGTTGCCATTCAGTTCATGCAAACATTGGAGATTTGTCATATCATCTTAATTCATGTACCCTCAACACGGGAACATCTTTGAAAGGGAAATTAAGTGACAAGCATTAATGCAACTAATGTTTGCTGTTTCTTCAGGATGATGTTTTGACCGTGATCCGCAGAGTGGATGAAAACTGGGCTGAAGGCATGCTGGCCGACAAAATAGGAATATTTCCAATTTCATATGTTGAGGTAAGCAGATCTGCAGGAACCTCAATAGTGTCAGTACCCAGCTCAGTTAAAAACAACAACAAAAAAAGACAATGTAGTTATGCAATCTGAATGTTAAGTTCTCACAATCACTTTGCAGTGTATAGCATAGCAAATCATTATGTTGTACACCTTTAACTATGCGATTTTAATTTTCCCATTATGTCTTAATAAAATTGGAAGGAAAAGATAAATACCTTGTTTATTAAAAAAAAAAAGTCCTCACTACATAGGTGGTGGGAACACCCTGTTCCAGATCCGTGGCAGGATTAGGATGAATTCCTCCATCCTGCCCCACAAATACTGAAGACTGAGATGTTTGAAACTCTTTACTTTGTGTCCCTGCTAAAAGCATTCCTGCATGTCCTGAGATGTTATTGTATGCTTCCAGTTGGTACCTGTACTGTTTCTGCTCCATTTACCAGTTTGGGGTTCAAAAAGCTGATAGGATTTCAGATGACTATATCTGTTTGTTTACATCTGTCCTTATCTGCCACATCATCAGAATTAGAATAATGATGTATAGAGGCAGCTCCCCCAAAATCTAAATAAATGAGTGTGCCTCCCCTCATTGCATCAGCATCTTAACTCTCCCCCCTTTTAAAATCAGCTTTCCTCAGAAAGGTTGTGGTGAACCTGAGTCAGCGAAATTCTTGTAGTGAATATGTATAAAGTAACATTTTTGTGTTATTCTAAATTACAAATGAACTAGAAAGTTGCAATTTACAGAATGCCTTTGTTACATCATGTATTGTAAGCTTTCATGTCCTTTAGTCATGCTGAAAACCAAATTGATGTTATTTTCAAAGAATAAAACAGCCCAAATCACCATAAAAGGTTAGCTGAGGCCTCAAAAGCCTTTGGGGGGAAGTGAGGCCTTGGCCAGTGTTTATGATAAATAGAGGGGCAAAAAGAAATGGGAAAGGTACATTTTTATGGCAGGAGGAACGTCTGTGCAGGGAGACCAGCAGGTCCAAAAGCCAAGAAGCTAGAGCAAGCATAGGTTTTGGGGGGTTTGAACAGAATTCTGTTCCTGAAGATATCAAAGCTTCTATCTCCAGCATGTTAAAAAGAAAAACTACCTCACTTGTTTTCCATTTTTTTTTATCTGAGGCATTTGTTTTGGCATGATTCTGAAAACTAAAATGACAAATTGTGTCATTGTAGCCAGCACTCAATTTCCTCTACAGACGGTGAGGTTGCCAAAGTTTGCATTAAAAATCATTTGACTACTGTATATCCAAGGGAAACTAATTCAAACCATGTACAAGTCTTGAATTTTATCCTTACCCTTCAGATGTTACTGTTTGTTGAAATATTTTTTCTTCCTTTCAAGTAAACAAAAGGAAAAAAGTCTTGACTCTCAGGCACTCCTTTCTGTATATTATTTATATATTCTAACTGTGGATCACGGAAAATTACAGATATCTCCAAGTATTTGAATAGATACCCTGAAGAGCATGGGAAAGCACCAGCTTAGTAATGAAAGCCTGTCTTTACTTGTTAGGTATTATCAATATTACATGCCAATACTTGGTTCGTGATGCATGAAAAAGGATTGCTCTCCTTTTGTTTGGGGGCAGGTATTAAGATTGCACAAATAAGCATAAAATGTCCACCCACAGCAAATCTATAGTCACTCACGTCATTAGGATTATTTACTCTGATTTAAATTGGAAAGATAAACTTCTGCCCAAGTGGAAGGCATTTTCATTCTTTTGCTGCTCTTCTTTCAAATGAGTATTTTCTCCATTTGAACCAGAATTTTGCCAGTTGAGACAAGGCAAACAAATCATCTATCTCTCAGAGACTAGGAACATTTCTTTGATGTCAAGCTGTCAGACTAAAGTTTCTGGTGGGGAGCAGGGAAACTGGGGATTAGTGACACCTGGTTTAGCCTTTAGGGGAATAAAGTGAAGGCAGATTTCAATAGCAACCCACCACACCTTGCTATTTAAATGCGGTGTAAACTGTCTCACACTGGCAGCCTCAGAAGGGTAAAGCCAACCTTAGTCCTCAAAAACTGAAATTTTTCTGTAAATAATGTTTTTTTCTCTTGCTCTGTAAACCACTTCAGGGTCCAGATAGTTTTCAATGTAAAAACAGGCTTTGTTACAAAAAAGATCACTTGTACATTGTTTGCATTTATCTTGTAAACTTACCATTTAAGTCTCCATCAGTGTTAGATGCTTTTTTTCTCAGTGCTGCTTCAAACTGTTGACCCACATCCCCACCCACCAGAGGTTTGTTGAGATAGAATGTGATAATGCAGTTGAAGAACTGGTGCATAGGGGTTTGAGGAAGCCAACTACCGCCCAGTGGTGAATTGGCACAGAGAGCTATTGAGGTTGGTGGAAATATGAATGCTGAATTCTGCATATCAGTGGTATCTTTTATGTCAAACCAGTATTGTTCACGGGTCAGCTGTACATATCTCAGAGGCTTTGGCACTGCTGGCTTTATCCATGGTAGTCTGTAGTTCTTATTGGCTCACAACCCAGAATATACCAGAGTATAGCAATGATCAGATAAAGACTCTACCCATAATAAGGAAAGTGTGTGCAGATTTGATTCTGGATTTCTGGAGAAACATCTTTATTTGCCACCACTTGTCAGCAGAAGCTGGAATTCCCCCTTGACTGCTTGTGGTTGACTTTATTAATGGAAATGCCCAAGGTACTTGCTAGTGGCAGATACCCTAAAATGGATAGGTCTGTGAGTTAGGATTGTAGATTCAGATCTGGAGTGGAATCTCTGGGCTCAGTGGTTTGGCTATGAAACTGAGATTAAGGGGAGTGGTGTAAAAATTAAGAAGTTGAGATTTTAGAGGTAGATTGGAAGAAAATTTGAGCTGGAGGTCTGAGATAGTGAGAAATGTTACTGGAGTGGCTGTCTGTTTCTTCAGTCTCTTCTCTAGCAGCATGTGTATCACATGTAGTCCTTGCCTGTGCTAGAAGGTGGTGGTGGTGGTATAGTGATTGGCACAGTGACCTCTTACTGAAATTCAGAATTCTTCAAGGTTTAAAAAGAGAATTGGACTCTTTAGCTGAGGAAGAGGGAAGAAAATATTCTATAAATGGCCCCAGATTCTGTTCCTTAGAGTCTTTAAGTTTTTGAGCTTAGGGTTCTCCTGCTTTGCAGATTCTCACATCAGATAACCTTCTGGTCAAACCATTGGATAGTGGTTATGATTCTGTTTAGACTGGAGTTGGAGAGTAGTGAGTAAGGGTTTCTTGGGGGAAAACCTCAGGAATTCTTGCAGACATCATACCAAGGGATGTATTAAAGGACATGTTTGTCAAAGACTGAATGCACTTATTTAAAAACAAAAACAAAAACAAAACAATGGCCTGCTCCTTTTTTTGTATTAAAATACTAGTCTCCAAAATAAAATGGAAGATTTTAATGACCTCATTAATTCAGAGCTAACTCATTCAAGTTTAGCAGACATTGGACAAAGATGACATGATTCTTAGCTTGAATGAAGTTAAGTGTTAGATAGGAGGGTTGGGGTGTTTTTCAAGCATTATTATGCATTGTAGTCTTATACCAAATTATAAATATTTATTTAAATTATGCTGGTATTTTGATTCCTACTCATTTACTTAAAATGTCACTTACCTAGTTTGCTCAGGACAAAAATAAATAACTTGCTCTTTTTGCCATAAATAATATAAAAATAATTGTACAAAGTAGTGGTCTAATAAGCAGCTATTCTTATTCTAATAAGCAGCTATTCTTGCCCTTGTTAATATTATCCCTCCATTGCACTGTCTACTCTCTGTTTTGTTATTTGGTCATGTGGGAGCTACTGTCTGCCACCCTCCTTGTCTCTTTAGAAGATGAACTCTTCTTGTCTTCTGGTTTACCTTGGTCCCCTGACATCCTGTACAACACCTGCCCATGGTAGACTCTTGATAAATGTTGGTTGAATGAATGAAGGAACAACCTAAGAAATTTGAAAGATGACTCTAAGCCAAAAACCAGCCTGGTTTTAGATGTTGCCAGCTTTTATACATTTCACCTAATACTTGTATCATTTACTACCTAGGCATATGTTTTACTATCGGTTTACCTTGGTCTTATGTCAGGAAGTTACATTCCTCAAAGCCAAAAGATCTACTGTGTGGCCCTCATGAAAAAAAAAATTTTTTTTTTTAATAAATGTGAGTATTTGTTTATTCCTTATTTAGGATTTTTTCAGATTTAATCATAGCCGTACTTTGTAGATTATATCTTGGAGCCTGTGCAGATTATTTATCTCTAAAAGATAAGACTAGATTCATCTTGAGATGAATTTTCATCTGCTTGAGATTACTCCTCGGACTTAGTTTATTGTCAAGGATCTCATTTTCCCCCAATATCTTTATTTTGCTTTAAGTTACTTACAATAAGCTGAATATATTTAAATGTATAGTTCAGTGAGTTAGTTTGTTGTTTTTAGCTTTTATAATCAACCCAAAGGCAAATCTTAGAATTTTTTTTATAGAGAAAAGAAGCAAGTATTATCAGCCTTAGCACTGGAAAATCATATGTACAGGTCTCTGACAGCACCGTGGCCTTAATGATGGGGATGCTAACTTCCTCTTTCTGGGAGATACGCTCTGTGTTCCAAGGAATTAGAAGTAGAGGTTTGGTTTAAAACTGTAGAGGTGACCCCTGAAAGAGGTGAGAATAAAAACATTAGCTTTCTTTTGTAATCTAGAGACTGCTGCAAAGAATAATGAGACCAAAACAATAGTATTTGATTTAACAATCAAAGAGAGTTGATCCAACATTGTAAAAGGATGTTCTATTGCTTGTGTTTTGTGATGAAGTCTTTTAAGTTAAATTGTTAAATGTTCAATTGATTGAAATAATTTTGTATTCAAGAAATGTAAGAAAATACACCTGTGGAAAGAAAGCAAACACTTTCAGAAAAAAAAAAGAAAAATGCACAATGATGTAAATTTTTTAAAAATGTTAGAAAATGTTGAGAAATG